GCATCCAATAAGAATGCAGAAATTTTTGATCAGACCGGCAAAACAAATCCGACACAAGAAAAGAAAAAATACAAGAAATGCAAAAAATACGAGAAACAGGTGTTTAAATCTTACTTGGAGTACTAATTAAAAAACGTCTGGGAGGCAAATTTATATATAAGTCATATCTCAGCTCTAACCCTAATCCTAAAACCAACCTTTTAATGTTAATTAATATTACAGTAGAATTTTCCGAGATCAACAAAACCTGGCACAGATTCAGGATGTGCAACCAAGAGGAACCAAATATGAAAAAAATTCACTACTGAATCAGCACTAGAAAATTGGTATACTTATAACTCCGTATGATAATTATCTATAAAAGCCACGAGAATTTTTTTGCGGAATAAAAGTTGTATTTTTTGTAAAATATTGTACAGATATTGTCTAAACTAATTAACAGAATTATTATCATTCTGTAAAATTGCACGAATTATTTAAATTTATACAAAAATTGATAATAATGACACAAATAGAAACATCACAAATTTATAATGAAGAGCAACAAGAACTTTTGTCAACAGCTCTAATTAGGACAACGACAACTTCAACAGTTGCATCATCAATAGATTCAATACCACCTCCCCCTCCAAATAATAATAATAGTAATAATAATAATAATAATAATAATAATAATAATAATAATAATAATAATAACAACAACAACAATACCAATACCAATACTAATAATATTAATACTACTACTAATAGTAATAATATTCGTAATACAAATAATAGTAATAATGATGAGGAGAATAATCCAATAATCCGATCAATGTCTCCTCCACCAAGTTACGACACTTCACAATCAATAATAAGTACATCAAATACAACGATTGCGAATACGAATACCAATCTTTCTGATGGTAACCAAACTTCCACATCAATTCCAATCACCACAATAGCATCAGGCGAAGAAGATGATGACATTCCACCACCAGCATATCATCGAAGCGAGACAAATCAAACAATCGACGAGCCTCTTCCTGCGTATCATGCTTCAGCTCAAAATTCAAATCAACCACAACCTCTCATTGAACTAACAATGGATGATCTAGAACAACAAACTGCACCTGTAACTCCTACACGTACTAATTGGTCCTGGGGAAGATGGATACTTTTTGTGGCTGTTATCATTATAATACTGCTTCTTACTTTTCTTAAATCTAGATGATTATAATTATAGATGTAATTATTAAATAAATAAATATCTATCGATATATATGGCTGGGTAAATTTAGCACAAAGATTGTTTGTACACTAGAAGTTTGATCGTCCGTAAAAAAGAAATTCCTACTTATTGTTCGTTTATTTTTAGTAACGATAATATAGTATGATTCTCTTTTCACCTTTTCAGGTTAGTAAGAATGCGTTGAACAGGTTTCTAATGTAATACTACCATTCACCAATGATAAAATGTCTCGTAGTACATGCGTTTCATTGTAGGAATATATAAACGTTTTTACGTATTTGGTTAATCTGGCCGATAATTTTATTTCATTGGAATTTATTTTTGTTATAAGGAATTTAATTTTTTGTTGTTAGTTGCAATTGCACTCGAGATATGGCTGGACCTTTACCTTACGGCTGGGAGGAACGGGTAAGAGAATAAAAAACTTAACTTTTTCTTTAATATGCTAATTCCTCGCTATCTCTTCATTAACCATATTTTAATAGTATGACGAAAATTACAAACGACATTACTGTAAGCATTTATTATATATACATATAAGATTAAACTGAACTTTTTATACTAAAATGATTTCAACTTATAATAGATGTGAACGCGTCTACCAAGACTACAACATGGGTAAGTAAAACTTATCTCAAAGAAGGATTAATAGAAATGATATGATTTCGAAAAGATAGCAAGTAACTAATTATTTGACATGAATTCATTATTATTACCAATTAGTATGACCCGCGAAAATCGCAAGGTATTTTCTTTAATATCCATTTTAAACATCAAAATCTTTCATATACAAAATACTCAGACCCAATCTCTCAAAAACAGGTCTTCATTCCCAACCTCCATCTGTACATACAAATCATTCTCAAGGTTCGTCGGCCTATACAAATCATTCTCAAGGTTCTGCCTATACAAATCATTATCAACATTCTCAAGCTTCATCTGTCCATTCAAATTCGACACATGTTCCCACTACGGCAGCACCAACACAACCACAAGTAATAGTAATACATCATACAACACCCGCAGCACATCATACAACACCCGCAGCACATCATACAACACCATCATACTCACCATTTAAGGACCAAAACCAATCAAAACCACCATCAAAACCACAATCATCACAACCACAATCATCACAACTATCCAATGCCGCTGCATCATTCGGCAAACAATTCGGTAAACAATTCGGTGTAGCAATGCTGAATACCGCATTAACAGGAAATCCGAATGGAGATCCTTTACTCACGGGATTAGGAAATGCTGCAATTGCTGCATTTGCAAATCAAGGGCGAGGTCGTGCTAACCCGAATGCTGGCTCGGTGAATCCATCGGCGGCACAATATCAAGCGCACATGGCACAATATCAAAAATATCTACAACAGTATGGTGCTTTCAATCCTCCTGCTAATACTTTTGGCGGGTTTGATTTTAACCAACTAAATGTAAGTGTTATTGTCATCAGATTTTATTGACCTACCATTTGTCATAAATTCTAACACTTTTTTTAATTTGTTTCCCTGAACAGAATGGCCAGTTTACGGATCCAGCAATTGGTGCTGATACGTCTGGAATAGATTTCTCGACTATGTTTGGAACGGATTTTTCGAATATGGGCGGAATGGATTCTTCGTATATGGGCGACGCGAATTATTCGGCGGATTTATCAAATAATTATTATTAATGTTAATGATTATTTATTATTCTTTCATATCCGAAATTATTTATTATGTATTATTTTATTCTGTATATTTAGTAATTGCTTTTTGACATTTAGTGTAATTGATATATGAGGGGTGCTGAAAAGTTTTGATCATGCTCTATATTTCAATGCATACTTATCAATTGGTAATACTTAACGTAGTAGCAGATTTAATAACTTTAAAAATTTTAGGACCCGTTATCCTGACCCATCCGATCCTTATTTTTCATGTTTCATATTTCAAACTTTAAATAGAAATTGCTCAAATGATATACAGTTTTTTTGTTACTTTAAATTGATTTATAATTTAAAAATATAAATAATATAATCTGTTAAAAACAACTTTAATTAAAATCAATAGTTTTTACTTTAAATTTAATTTTTCAGGAAATATCTAGTCAAAAGACACCCAGTTTTCTATAATTATTAGTATGTTCTGCATTGAGATATAGGGGTACTCACTTTTCAGCCGCCCCTTGTATTCGTTACAACCATTCATTATTTATAATAAATTTTTTACGATACCGATACGAATACACAACTGTATTGTGCGCGAGTGATAAATAACTGCATTAAATAATTTTGTTTTCCATTAAAGATTAAATACAATACGAAATTAGTTGATTAATTAAGAGGTTGTTTTCGATTTATCACGTCCCTGCCAAAGATACACCTCCGACAACAAATAGAGATTTTTATTGATTGAAAATCTAACACTGTTGTGTTGGCAGATCCGGCTGAATGTCAATACCCCTTTTTATTTTTCCCCACCCGATCAACCTGTATTATTTTATTTTTCGTTTAATAATTTAGTATTTCTACAAGAAACATTTGAAATAAAAAAAAAACGTACCGCCAATGCTTATCAATTCGCCGTGATAATGCAATTTTTTCATCAATTTCCGTACATGCTGGACTAGTCAATGCAATTTTAGCTAAATCGGCTTTTACGGACATTACGCGACCCCCTGTTGATGTGGATCCGATGTTTACCATGAGCACTTCATTCCTTGCAAGTTTTGATACCTGTAGTCATCATTAAAAAATTATTGTTATTCATAATTTGCATTCCGTCAAAAATCAATAGCCGAAAAATAAATATAAGAGATACAACCCTTTGTCTGTTTCTTATCGTCAGTTTTAACACCAAGCAATCTTCGTAATAAAAAGTAATTGATTTCTAATTCAGTGTAGATTTTCGGGAGTTTTCCAACAGCGCCGAGTACTTGGCCAACTAATCGATCAGCACGACAAAGTGTAGGATCAATTCTTGTGCCGACACCTTTTCATTTAAATAAAAAATAAATTGATACGCAATTAAAATCGAATAATAATATTATTGAACGGCAATACCAATTTTTTATGATGACAATAATTGTATTTACACTTACCAATTAATCCACCAGGAACTGCAAATTTCAAATCATTATGTTCAGCAAACAATGAAACAATCCGTGAGAAAATAGGCCGACAATGAATTTGTCCTTCGTTATCTTTGGTCAAAATTCCAGGACGTACTTCAATTTCATCACCAATCTATATAAGACAATAACAATAACAATAACAAATAATGAACAGAAACAAGATATTAGCGTTTATACATAGATATAGTGCATACATAAGCAATAAATTACCTTAAGCACTCCTCTCAAAATAGACCCACCAGCCACGCCTCCTTTCAGTTCGTCAACCTCCGCACCCGGTTTATTGACATCAAAAGATCTAATCACAATAAGACGCGGATCAGACGTGAAATCGCGAATGGGTATCGGGATTTTCTTGACGATGTATTCATTGATGGCATCAATATTGTATTTTAATTGTGCGGAGATGGGAACAATTGGGGCACCATCTGCTACTGTGCCTATTTTATAATTATTATTGTAGTCATACAGATTATTAAAAATTTAATTAACGTCAACAGAAAACGTAATATTTTTTTTATTTGATAAATAATTTTACCTTTCACAAACGACAAAATGCTCTGATAATGCTCCTCGCACGCAGCTTCTTTGACTAAGTCTACTTTATTCTGAAGAATTATAATATGTTTGAGCTTCATAATTTCGATCGCGGCCAAGTGTTCACTAGTCTGCGGTTGTGGACACGACTCGTTGCCGGCAATTAGTAAAAGTGCGGCGTCCATCACCGCTGCACCGTTCAACATTGTAGCCATGAGAATGTCGTGGCCGGGACAATCGACAAAGGAAACATGTCTAACAATATACAATTAAATTAAATTAAATTAAATTATCAATGGAAAATCGACAGAGAACGAAAATTGGTTTATTCTTTTTTCGTAAATTTCATCAACAATATCAACCTATAAATAAACAAATAAATATACGAATAGATACAATACCTAATCAGTTTCATTTTCCCAACACACCCGGGTCGTTCACATGGTGGATGCTCCTCTTTGTCGCTACGATATGATCGATAACATCCTGGCCTTGGACAATCTTCATTATCACATTTATATATCTATTGTGAAAAAATTCTGGCGTTTAATAAAAATTAACGAAAAACGTAAATATTCAGCGAATCAAATTTGTACTTTTGCATTTGCATAGCCCAGTTTAATAGTAATGTTACGTTCAAGCTCATTTTTGAATCGAACGGTCTAAATGTGCGTAAATTAGAAGATTAGAACTAAATTCAGGAAATTAATCAATTGGAAAATTATTAACGGTAATAATTTATATTATGTTGTTACCTGTACACCGGAAATGGCTTTGACCACAGTAGATTTACCATGAGCTACATGACCAATTGTTCCTAAATCAAAAAGAAATTAAAATATATATACTAGGAGCACCACCGATTCTTTGTAGGTGTGCTTGAGAGAAGTCAAAGTATTTAAATAAACAATTTACCAATATTTATAGTTGCTTGTCTAGAAATCACTTCGGGTGACAAAGGATTTAAAGTGGCAGGATCCAAGACAACTTTTTCCTCTTCGCGCATAATGTCGATTCCAGCCATGTTTGAAGGTGATTTGTACGATTTCTTTAATTCAAACAAACAAAATTCGAGTTTCTAAATGTATTATAAATAAATGAGTCATTTCTTTTAAAGCATAGAGATATCGTGATTATGTATGAGTCATAAGTTCATAGTAATAGTTGTTCATCAATTTTCAACATCAAATGGACCTTCAGCTTTTAAACGAAATCACCTGCCAAGTAAACAATCCAATTGGGTCAAGCGTTGTTCACAACTACACTTGGGTCATTCCTAAATTCAGTCAAGTATCGCTCCTTACACCGAAACCTCAGTACATACAGAGTCCAATTTGGGAGTCTCCCGTTTGCATCGCCGACGAATCAGGTTACGCATACAAGAAAGTAAATTGGCGTCTGAAACTTCATCCGAACGGTAATCTCGAGAGTTCACAAATTGGCCATCTGAGTCTCTATCTTGAAACAATATTTCCCAACGATGCGCTGGCATCGGCAAGAGTCAACGTGAACTTTTATATTGGTCTTTTGATTCCGGTGCAACAAGGTGAAGATCGTGTGCTTCGAGTAGTGAAAAGACGTACAGAACGACACGAGTTTCCAAAGGTGAAACCGGCTTGGGGATGGCCAAACTTCTGCACGAAAGCTTCTTTGAATGATAAAATTACAAATGATGTAGCCAGTGAAGAAATCGCTACTTTGTTTCCACACAATCAACAGCATTTTGACGATGATACTCTTATAGTGCACGTTGTGATTATCACACCTAATCCTTGCAGTAACAGTGACGTAAACGAGGCACAATTAAAAGAACTGGAAGCACTACGGAAATCAAAGAATGAGTTGCCATTCTCACAAGCATTGAATAATCCTACTTTTAGTGATATAAAATTTCTAGTCGACTCGCGAGTTATTTATGGACATCAAGTTATTCTTGCGGAACGATCTCATTACTTCAAGACTCTAATAAAGAACGATTGGAAACTCGAGATCAAAGAAGAGAAAGAAGTACAAATACAAGAGGTTGACTACGACGTGTTTTACACGATCCTAATTTATTTGTACACGGGAATATTACCAGAAGTAGCCGGCGAAACAGATCTGCTAAAAGTGGTAAAACTTCAAAAGTTATTTAACGATGCAGAGATGCGAAAGACTCTTCACGTAGACGCAATTCATGAATTGATTGATGTTATTGTCGCGGAGTTGTCTGCATTGATAAATTATGATACTTGGGATAATTTGTTGTTGTTTGGTTGGGAACGTGACATTTTGCAGCTTCGGAAAGCGATTTATCGGTTCGCTAAACAGAATTGGAAGGTTATTCGTGAGACGGAGGCTTGTAAAGGCATTTTGCGTGATGCTAATGTGGATTTAGTTGAAGAATTTATTACCACTTCAAGATAACTTACCGACGCGTGCTCTATAGATTTGATGAACATTATCAAATGAAGAAGCAACCAAACAATGAAAAAGAGACAATATACGATATTTGATTATAGTATAACAAAATCAAAATCGCAATATAATGTTTAAATTTTAGAGAAAATAATTCTTCATTTTATTTATCCATCGAAAGGAAATTTTTTAACACGACCAGAAATTTTATTTAAAGCATTCCTATACTATTATAAAAATCAATCCACAATATTTCAAATTTCGACTGTTCCCGAGTCGAATACGGATTCAAACAATTCTTGAATGCGAACCAATCATTTTCTAATAATTGATTAGTCAAAAACTGCACTCTTTCATTTTTTTGATATTTCAAAGCTATCCAATGTTCACTCAATCTCTTCAATAAAAAAATGTCATCCGATGCTTCGTAATTTTGTGTTTCCTGCCGATTTGGTTCGATCTTTCTGTAGTATAATTGTGTTATTATTATGGAATCATCATTACCATCAGTAGTTGAGCAGTGCACGTAATCTCTTCTTTGGTGAATTTTTTTCTCCTGATTCATACAATTAATTAGCGTCTGGCTATACAAATCGAATATTTGGTAGCTCAGTGACGAAAGTTGTGCTAGAATCCATGGATGCAACATCCAAAACTGATTTTCTAGTTGTACAGGAATCATCTCGTATTGTTGAGTGTCAGTTATATGAATAATTGACAGAATCCAGTCCAGTAAAATTTTCTGAACTTTTTTAGCCTTGTACGAATTTTTGTAGTCGTTTTCGTCAGTTAATATTATTAAGTGTGCAATTATTTGCTTTTGTTTTTTAGCAAATATGAATAATTAATTATGTCATAACAAATTTGTCATTAAAGGCCAAAGATCAAAGTAAATTAGCGCGAAAAATATAAGCACTTAATAGTACCATTCCTTCAGAATTATTCATTGGAATTGAAACAGCCTCTTCTCTTATCTGATCCAGAAAATGTGCAGCAATCTCTCCATTCTCATCGAACAACGAAATAAATTTATCCAAGAGAGGACGAGCGGTCGCTCTTTTCGTTATGGTGTCTGGAAGAAGCCTGAATGAAAATTCATAGATGACAGATAATTGCTCTAAATAAAATCTCATTCGCTATTATTTTTATACTGTTTTTTATTATGAAAAATTGTATGCAAAAAAAATTCTCACCAGGACGCTCGTATGAACATTGCTTATTGATTGTCATTAGGTTCTCTTGCAATGTTAATCCCATTCCTAGTAAAACATCCGCCGTAGCACAAGTTTTGCCAATTTTTTGTATATCCTAAAAGATCATGATTATTTTTATTGCCATAAATCCAAGAGAATTGACATTTTTTTACCTGCAAAAGGGCGTCTTTTCCAACACCTAAACCACTTTCACCAGAGGCTGGATAAGTACTCAATACATAATAATATAATTCGGCAGGTAAATTATTATTACCCAACAATGAGAAATAAATAGAATGACGAATTCTGGCAATTTCATTAATTGAATGTTGTGCATTTCCACTTCTAGTTATTTCAAGTATCTTTTGATAAATAGGAACAAATTCTTGTTCAGACATGCAAAGTACTTGTTTCTCAACTTCATAAGCGCATTGTATTGTGTCCTGCAAATAAGATGTATCCCATTGAAGTACACTGGTTGTTTTAGAGTACTTTAGAATATCGACAAGAACTAAAAGTTTGTTGAATAGTGTTTCCGCGTCCATGTTAAAGTTTCCCAGGTATGTTTGCCACGATAATTCTGGGCGAAATTAAGAGAATTTTGATTGGAGCTTTAATTGGGAACACGTGCTTTTAATTTTCATCGAACAATTTTTTATCATATACTCGGAAATTGGATCATTCTTCCGCACAACATGAATAGATACGCTTCTCATGCTGGTTCTTGGTATACTGGAAACGGTGAATTCTTTTAAATACTACAACATTACGCACTTAAATATGTTTAATTTTTAAATTATTGTTAATTAAATAAAAAGCCTCGGTTTTGAATGAGCAACTTTCTGAATGGCTGGGAAATGTTCCTCCAACGACTGAAAATGGCGTTCCAATCCCAGTAAAGGGCGCTCGTGCCGTAATTGCTCCGTGAGCTTTTTCTCAACCCCTTTCCTAATTAATTATTCCTCAAGTGCGCGCGCCAACAAATAGTCTTTTTGAATCGAAATATACAGTCATGCAGGGTATTCTTACAGTGGACCTTCAGCAGCTTATGCTTATAAATGCATTGATATAGAATCAATGCAAGTTTCGAAGCAGCCATAGTTACGTTATTTCGATTACGATTTTGTAATTGATTGAATTATTATATTTATTATTAGAAAACGCGTCTTTATCCTGGGCCCTTCGCATCATATTTACCTGTCAAGTTGTGCTCTTTCTCGGTGTACAGAATACGAAACTCCATTTGGAAACCTTATTCTAGACGCTGAAGGTTTAAATTAACGAATTCTCGCTTTCCTCCCTATATTACTAACTCCATTGATAATGTAGCTATCAAAGAACTGCGAGATACCGGCCATTTTACAGACTTAACAAAGAAAGATGATGAAGCAGAGCATAGTATTGAAATGCACCTACCTTATATCTACAAAATTTTTGAGAGGTACTTTTTGTTTCTATTCATTCATAATCATTAGAATTATTCATTAATTCGGTTCGCCTTATTATCATAATAGCAAGATCAATTCTATAAAGATAGTACCAGTGTTAGTGGGTGGATTGTCAACGTCGCAAGAAGAATTCTACGGACGATTGTTGAGTCGATACTTGGCTGACCCAAATAATCTTTTCGTTATTTCATCTGATTTCTGTCACTGGTATCATTTCATCTTTTATTTATTATTTTGAATTACCTGTAAAATGGTTTCATTATTTATTATTTATATGCGTGATCAGGGGCCAACGATTCCGATACACGTATTACTCGAGCGATCCAAATCTGGCTGTTAAATTAACACATAAATCCAAAGACAAACTTATAATTCCAATATATCAATCCATTGAGAATCTCGACCGTCAAGGGATGTCAATTATAGAAAGTATCGATCACCAAGAATTTGCTTCTTATCTGTCAAAGACACGAAATACAATTTGTGGTCGGCATCCAATTGGCGTGTTAATTTCCGCTGTTCAGGAAATGCAAAAGAATACAAATAACACATCAACAATGATAAGAAATCCCGAAATCCGCTTTGTCCACTATGCACAATCTAATCAGGTGACTGATGTACTTGATAGTAGTGTAAGCTACGCTTCGGCTTACGTTTATTTGCCATAAAATCAAAATCAATAAACTATCATTTTCCTTGGCCATTGATTCACTCGAACATATTTAGTTTGTATGAATATTTGCATTAGAATCTTCTAAATAACAGTAATCAGAATGGCTCTAAAGTTAATGAGCTGAAAAACAGTGGTAATACTTTAATCTCCCCCAACAATACATTCCTTCATAATTAAACAAACAAATAGATTTCTTTCAGTTTCTGGATGATCAAAATTTAATTTCTTATGGCGAACAGTCAGTAATAACATAGACGATGATCATATGAATCGGATTATTCACCATCTGATGAATAATACGGATCGTATCGATCATAGTCATCTTGCCGCCGTCGCCGCTTAGAGCGATCATCTTGTCTACTAGTGGACTTAGAAGCATGATTTCTCCTATCTTTACCTCTCACTTTCTTTCCAGGACAGTCGTCGCCATAATGACCGCGCCCTCCACATTGATAACACACAGGAGATGGTCCTCCTGGATCAGGACCATCGACAGAATTCGGGATATATACATAATATTTCCATTTAGTAGTTAAATCGTTGGGGTCATTATTGTCGTCGTCATCATCTTCATTATTGGTATGTGACCAATTATCTGCTTTTGTACAATTCTGTTCTAAATGCCCTGATTCATTACATGTTCGACAATAACGTGGTGGAAGATTAAAATATCGATTGTTGTTGCTGGCTTTATTGTTACGTTTTGCCAATGGTGATCGTTCTGGAAGATTGTATTCACCACTCGATAGCGTCGGTTTCATGAATCGACTGGGAGTTGTGACTGGTGTTATTATTTCTTTGACGAAAATTCCTTCAGGCGTATTGGTAGTATTAGTGATGGTAGTGCTGTTTGTGGGATCTGTTGAAGGTGTAGAAAGTACACTGGTTGGTTGTATAGATAGTTTATATTCGTTGTCGGAAGACGAGTAGGAATCTGATGTATCACCAAGTTGTATTCGTTTCTTTGATCCCAGTATACGAGTTGATGCTTTGCTATTTTTGACCTTGGTACGTCCAATTGCATATTTCGAATCAGTTTCCGGGGTTTTGATCGAAGTGCTATTAGTACTTGAATGATGAATTCGATTACTAGGCGTGGTGTCTGCTGCTGATGCTTCGATATCACTATCGTCACTTATTATAATTGTATCGGGATGTGTGCCATCTTTTATTTGTTTACTTGTGGATGAAGAAGGATTGCGAAATTCATCAACTTTATTCTTCCCCTTAACTCTAGACGATGTTGAATCATAGTGCGCATTATTACTTTTGTTATTGTTACACTTAGGCTCAGGAGTCACGAAACGTTCATTTCTCGCAGTAGTATAAGGGGAGGGTGTACGAAATTCATCAACGTCTACTTTACTCTTTCCTTTACGGTCTCTAGAATAAGTAGAGATTGATGAATCGTACTGTTGTTTATTATTTTTTGGTTTTGGAGTCATTAGAAGTTCACCTTCTTTTGAACTTGTCCGTAGTGTGTTACTCCTCCCATTAACCAAAGAGTTCCCAGAGGATTTATTATTAGATTGAGCTAGATTTGGAGCTGTCAATTTACTATTATAGTAAACATGACTTAATAATAAATCTTGAGAATCGCTCATCTGTCTTTCTGCATCGGACTCCCATTCTTCTTCTTTGTAAAGTTCATCCTCGAACTTTAACACTTGGTCATACACTTCTTCGTCCATTGTGAAAATTTATTTTATTTTTTTTATTTAAAGAGAATCGAATGTTATTTTGGGAAAAAACTCATCACGCATGCAAACTATGACTAACGTTTGTTTAGAATAAACGTGATTTATTTATTACGAATTAAAACTTTATCTGTCAACTGTATAAGTGCACTCCGTGCATCAGATTTAGGTAACTTTAAGACTGAAGTAGCAGCTTTCTTACAAAGTAACGCAGCCAATAATTTGGTTTTTTCTAGTCCTTTACTTCGAAATACCAGATTATGCGCCTATTACATGAATTCAACAATTAATACTAATTAATATACGTCTAAAATAACCAAAAAAAAAAAAAAAAAAAAAAAAAAACGTCCAATTAAAATTAACGAAAACTCACCATTTCAACATCACCTTCATTTTTAAACTTCCGATCAATCAACGGCCCCAACTCTGGGAACTCTTCCCACGCGTACAACACCGGCGCGGTTGCAAGCCCCAATTTCAAATCAGCACCAACAGGTTTCCCGAAGTTGTCGGACGAAGACGTGAAATCCAACATATCGTCCACGAGCTACTCGAAATTATTAGAATAATTTATTTCTTTTTACATTGGTACACAGGTCTAATCTTTTCGTTCATTCAAATCGATCACTCAAGCAATAACAATCATATGATAATCTAATATGAAAAAAGTAAACTCTACCTGAAATGCTAAACCTAAATTACGTCCATAGTCATAAGCGATATCGATGATTTCGGGTGTACATCCGCCCAAAATTGAAGCGCCACGACAACTATTTGCAAGCAGACTAGCAGTTTTCATGTAACTTTTTTCCATATAATAATCGAACGTAGAAACTTTTTCGCTTTCTTGACCGTTTATATTAATATTATTTTTCTTATTGATATTCTTCAATTGCATGAATTCACCTTCAACAAGATTCGTAATAATCGTCGCATACAATTCAATTATTTCTGGATTTCGTAGTCGTGCCAAAGCAATAGTAGCACGAGCAAGCAAAAAATCACCGGCTAATATTGTCATCTTGTTACCGAAACTGGCATTTGCCGATGGTTGATTACGACGCGTTTCCGAGGTGTCAATTACGTCGTCGTGAAGTAACGATGCAGTGTGTATCATTTCGGTGATTTCGGCGAGGCGACGTTGTGTCGGTAGAATTATTGTTCCTTGTACAGATAATGACGGTTGATATATCTCTTTTGGCGACTCGTTTATTAGTTCTGAAAAAGAGGAGGAGGAGGATGGTGATGATGATAATGGCGTATCTATTATTTCGTAATAATTTGCTGGGGATATTTGATATTGTTTTGGTGCTAGACTTGTAGCCTGTGACATTAATAATACAAGTAGTGGTCTTAAATGTTTTCCTTGTGATGTAAAATAATATTTGCTGATTGATTCTAATACAGGATGTTTACTACTCAGTAATCTTTTGATGTTCTGTGTCAAATCTAATATATCACCACCTAAAAGTTTCATTGGATCGATGTACGATATGCTGTCACTATTACGAAAGTTTATATCACCACCAGCGCTACTCTGGTCATATTGTACTAAATTCTTTGCTTCGGATATTACTTGATTCCATGATGAGTTATCACTATTTGTACTAGTCTTCACTTTAAAAATTGAGTTTCTAAAAAGCTTAAAACTGTCAGTCACGCGCTCAAATATTGTTGCAGGTTTTGTTGTCGTTATTTTTGGATTCGATGAAGTATGTAAGGAAGCTTTATTACCATTGTTGGCAAATGAAAATGGAATAGAAGAAACTTTGTTTAAATGCAATAAATTATAACAAACATTGTCTTTATTTTTGAAGATAATTTTATAACTGCAATTAGTGTCTGATGTTACAGAATTTCTATTATAATAATAAGGATATATAATATATCTTTTTGCTGAGCCATAATAAGAAGGATTCAATGCCATCTTTACGCTCTCTCTCTCTGTACAAACTTTAAAAAAATGACACGTCCAGCGTGAAAATGCATGTATGCATTAATTTCACATGATTATGGTGCATTTATTGAATTCCAATACTGACGATCTATACTAAAATGATCGTAATCTGGAACAAGTTTATTGTTTGAAACCATTATTGTTATCGTTGTTATTCATTAACTATCGCTTGCAGAAAGTCTATAGACATCAAATGGCTGCGCCATTGCTGAATTTTTTTGAAGGAAAATTATTTCCATATAAGGTAAAATGTAGAATATGTATATAATGTTACGGGAAAAAATAGTAATGCATTTTTGCATGGAGAGATTTAACCAATTAAAAGTAATACACGTGATATAATACGTGCTGAAAATTAAATAATTATTAATAAAAATGATTTTAAAAAAACTCTATATTAAATAAAAAATATATCATATGGTACATAAAATCATCAAACATTTATATTTTATAAAATATATAAACTTTTTACTAAAAAGTAAATACAAAAGAAAAGATCTATTTTTATATTTACTCAATAAAGAAATTTATATATTTTATAAAATACAAATATTTGATGACTTTAAATTTTATACATTATATAATATAGTCAAACTTCTTTATAGTGTTACTGTCCTGAGCTTTTGCGTATGAAAGTATTTCAGAATGGTAATAATAACTGTGTTCATTTTGAAAGATTAAAATACTGAACTATAAAAACTTATAATTTAAATATTAAATATTAAATAATGAGGTTGAACATAACTTTAACAAGGAAACTTAACAAAACAAATACAATAATTATCAAAGCTTTTCTGAAGTACTGGACAATAATAATTTTATTAAATATAATAATGAATAATAGTTTCTTGTTAAAATGACATAATTAAAAGACCAAAAGAATGTGAATCACAACCAATTTTTATTTGATATTATTATCTTAATTCATGATTCGATGATAATTCTAAGCTAAAATACATACTACTTATATATCTATTTCTAACTCAAAAAAAACCAATTGGAATCTAACACATTTTCATGTATTACAAGTAACACATAATGTTACTCCAATTTGTCAAGTGTTGCACATTTAAATCCAGTGCTAACACATGCTAAAATACTAAAATACTATTGGTACTTCTTTGCTATTATATAATAAAATTAATTAAACATGAAATAAACTTAATATAGTACAAGGTAATACCAATATAACACAAAGAAAAATTAAATAATAAGAAGAACCAATTAAAATATAGAAATAGAACACATGTCAAATCTTAATAAAAATGATCTATATTAAGTATGTATTATGACATAAATCTAATTTATAATAAAAAACCAATTAAATTATCTTAATAAAAATCAATTGGATTTTTAATAATTATTGTTCTTTGTTAAATACTATTATTATGTGAGAGAAATATCATTATTATAGATAAATATTGAGTTCCTCTTGGTAATGATACTATGCTCACCTAACTGAATTTTTATATAAATATATTAATAAATAGCTAAATAATATATAACATGTCATAACAGTAACAATAGTCATGTTCATTTATAGTCACACTTTTCTATAATCATCTTATTTTGCTTTTTCATTTACATATAAATATAGTAAAAAAATCTCTCTATATATTTTCTCTATAATTACCAAATTTTGCTTTTCTAAGAATAGTAACTATAAAGAGATTTGATTGTATATTTTTTTATAATAAATTTGTATTATATATAAATTCTTTATAATTCAAAGTATTTGATATTGTTATAATATAAATATTTAGTTTTTATTTTATTAATTAATTCATATTATAATTTAATTAAATAAGATTTGTTATATTTTATTAATTAAAAATTAGTTTTAATTTAATTAGATAATTAATTAATACTTTATTATTGGTTTTTTATTTGTATTAACTAGTAATATTAATAATACTTGTAATTAAATGATTTATAAAATTAACATTATTAATAAAATTAATCTATAAAATTAGTATTGTTAACAAAATTAATTTACAAATTAATAATATGAGTAATTATTATAAATATAATATGTATAGATGGTCTCCTAAATTATTTTTGAAAAAAATAGTATTTCAGCAAATAATTCAGTTTTGCTATATTGCTTATATTAATGAATACTTAAAAATCATCTAGAAATACTTGTTTTGATTTGTAGAATCCAAATAATTTTGGAAAACAATTTCAGCTACTAATAAAATAAATCAAAATAATTTCAGATTTAATTTTGACAAGTTAATTTTGGCAAATTATTTAATTAGATGATGTTATTTCAACAATTATTTTTATTTTAAATAGAATTAAATAGGTTTCTTAGATTTTAGATTTTTTTATTTTATAATTAATAACTCAAGAAATTTTTTATTTAATAGAAACTTCAGATAACTTGTAAAATTATATTTGTATTGATTTTTAATCTTGAAAAATATATTGCTTATAATAAATCATTATTATTGACTTAAAAAATAGTTACTTAGTAAACTTATTATTTGTATTCTAACTTTTGAAATTATAAATAAATATGTAAAATCTAGTTAAGTTATTGAATATTATTCTAGCTTATTATAATATAAATATATATTACCTATCTTTAATAATAATTTTCAATCTTACCCATTATAAAAACTTAATTTTTTTGTTTTTAAATTAATAAAAACATATTGTTATAATTCAAATATTCTATAATATAGTTATTTTATTAATATTTAATTACTTTTATTATATTTAATATTTTTAATAATTAAA